AAATTGGGCTAAATCTACTTGTTAAGCCTTGTAGATTTCACATTACGTAGTGTATTGTTTTGTGTTTGTTGTACAAATATTTTAAGAAATGTTTAAATCTTCCTCATAAATTTAAATTAATTTGATTTTGTTTCAGTCTTAACTTGGGGTTTAATATTCCATTAGGATACACCATTATTGCTCACATTTCTAAAAGTTCGACTTCCATATTTATTGTATATGAAAATATATTATATTTTATGGGAGTTGATTCCATCCACCATTATTATATATCTATCCCAGTTAAAATTTTAAATTTTTTAAAAATATACTATTTTGATTCACATTATATTCCATATTTCCCTTATTAAATTCATTAATTTACACACTTTACATCCAAATAAGCCATTTGAGCATAGGATTCAAGGGCTTGGATGATGCAAGGGGGTTCCATTGTAGGGCAGTGGTTAGGAGGTGTCTGTGGAGTTGAATGAGCGTTCTTGAGGCCGAGTATGCAGGCTCTGAATAATGACATATAAAGCTTCATGATTACATCAAGAATAAAAAATTTAGTTGGAGGTCCCACAAGAAAGTAAAATTTAGGGTAGATGAATTTCCAAGCTAGAAGAGAAGAATAGTTTCCTGAGGCTTGAATTGTAGGGAAAGCAGAAGCTATGCACAAAAAAATGGGTCAATTTGGGTCCATAGAAGCACGCGTTGTGCGAGGTAGTGAGCATTGGCGATTGATGTTCAAAACATGAACTCAGAAAAAATCAAGAAAATAGTTTAGAGTTCTAGTTTAAGCCCTATTTGAGCCCCATTAATTTGAAAAAAAAAATGTATTATAAAATAGTGATTGATGAAGAATATGAGGTTAAAAAAGAAGGAAATTTTTTATTTGCATGTAATAGTATTTTAATGAAGAATATGTGATTAAAAATGAATACTGTAGAACTAATAATGAGAAATAATGAAAAAAAATTGATGACAAACAGGTGCTTATTCTAAAAGAATATGAAAATGTCCAAAAGAATTTAGGGTTTGATTGATTGTAAAGATGAAATTTGGGTAGAAAGATAACGAATTTCAAAGAATTGAATTACCTAAAAATCATTTTCTTGGGAATTGTAAATTATTGTATTTGATTGATATAATTTTTTACATAAAAAATATTGAAATAAAAATAATTTTTGGTGTTCGTTTGACTTTGTTTTATATGAAATTGTCAATTAAAGAGAAATATTTTTTTTATAATAATTCTTAGATTTTGTTTCCATTGCCAACAAACAAAAAAATAAATAAATAATGAAAAAATTGATGGAATCTGAAAGATCACCATACCCCATGGGAATTCAATTTCGCTCAAAAGCTGAAAAATTTGTCCGTGTGGACACTGTTCATGGATGAATTTGGAGTGATATATTTTTATTTAATTTTATATATGTCTATTTAAGTAAATTTATGTCTAATTAAAAATATAATATAATTTTCCTTTTAACTTATATTTTAACAACAAAAAGAAGACATGTTTTAACTTTTTCGTGCGGTCATGCACATAATGGAAAATATCGCTACGAGTTTATTGAGCCATTGATACTTCCACAAAGTCAAGGAAACTAATACAACTTTAGGACGAATGTCATTGATGCGACTCTTCAAATCGCAGTTATCTAAACTATTGTATAATATATTGTTTAATTATATTTATTATATTTTGTGAATTATATTTTTCTTTACACTAATCACATTTTCCCAAAGTGTCTCAAGGCTGTGAACAATTTACAACTCAAGTGATATGCTGAAACAAATCAAACTCTGTTTAGCACATGTTTGGCTTAGATGAGAATCAAAATTTTAGATAGTTTTGATAAAAGTTGATAAAATATATGTTTGAAAAAATATGGATCCCATTAAATATATTACTAACGTTAATTATTAATTTTCACTAAAAAATTTAATCAAAATTTTTAATTGTACTAATCAGGGGCTTAGCATCCATTCACTATGATGAAAGTGTGTTTTATCCTAATTAAGAACTAGATCCCTACATTACTTTATTGTGTCAGTCTTATGTAACTAAGCTCCAGTTTTGTTTAGCTAAAATTAAACTTTTAAAAAATTTTGATAAAAGTTGATGAAATATATAATTGAAAATAAGTTTGAGAAAAAAATGAGTTTTAAAAAATGAGGGGTCAAACAGGGGCTAAATAAAGTCAATATTTGTTATGCATACCAACATCCGTGCAAAGGCACGATTCGCTCTTTACACAAGTGATATTAGACCACGAAGAATCTATAAAGCTCTCTCTGTAGCTCTCGTTTGACGGTCATTATTTGGCAAAATCAAAGTTTTGAATAGTGAATTTTTGAAAAATATGTGATTAAAACGTATTAAAAATGTTGGATTTATGTGCGGAATATTTCACCGTATGAGTATATGATTGAAAATGAGTAATTACAATAAAAAATTTGAAAAAATGACTGTCAAATAAGTGGCTTAGTATGTGAATATAGAAGGTGAATCAACAATATTGTTGAGATACTTGATAAAAGGTCTTGTGACCAAACCAGTATTAATAAAAAATATAGATAAAAAAGTAGATGGACTCAAATTATTGAACTGATATTCAATTAAGTCATTTCATTTTCTCAATTTATTAATTTATATAGGAAGTATTAATAAAAAATATAGATAAAAAACGGATGGACTCGAATTATTGAAGTGATATTCAATTAAGTCATTTCATTTTCTCAATTTACTAATACATTTATTATGTGGATCCCATCATTTTCCACTAAATGTAATTAATTAGATCCCGACACGATATAATCCAATTTATTAGTGTTAATAAAAAACAAACAAATTGATGTCACTTCCGTGTTATACCACAATCAGACCATTGACTGGATTGACCAAGCACCTTTAAATTTGTGAAATATATTCCAATCATGTTATATTGCTGTCTCGACATAATTTTTGATAGTATTACATGGCATTTTATCACTAGACAATTTAAAATATAGTCAATATTTTCGTTCAATAATCTATTGCTACAAACACACCTGTCAATCTTTTTGTCATTTTTTTTTTGGGAGCAAAGTAAATTAATTCAATATATTCATAAGCAAACCTAAACAAATGTTTGACAATCATTAAAACAACTTTAAAAAAAATTATTTTTAATCACACGTTCTTAAAATGAAATATTTTGTACATAAATTCAAAAAAAATTCTTATTTTTTCCACATATTTTCCACAAATTCACTATTCCAAAAATCTTTTTTTAATAAAAAATAAATATACTTAATTTGATTTTTGCACAAATTATTCACCATTTTGGACTTGACACATATAAAAATCACATTTCAAAACTAACAAATTTGTCAAATCATTTCAATTAATAATATATACAATATATAATTAATTGAAATCAATTGTCTCCACCCCAAGTTCGCACGCCTACCCCTACCCCTATCCCTATTCCTTACCCACCCACTCTACCCTACTTGTAAAAATTTTTCAAAAATTGAGAAATCTGTGTTATCTATGATTAATTGTGTTCAATTTTGTTTTCAGTGTGTCTGCCTGTAATCATATCGTTTAATTTGTGATTTTATATAACCAAGTTACATACTGTTACAATTAAAATAGATTTGGTCATAGACAATCACAATGAAGATAGACTTGGTCAGACTCGATTTTCGTCGCCACTATCACTTTGGCACTGCCACTACCCCCAACAACGTCAAGAACCAAATGTTCACTACCAAACACCTTCAACAAATCCTAACCACCATCGACATCACCGCACCATCACCACGACTTAAAAGATCCGTTGCTTGTAGCTGCAAGTAGTGGTGTGCCTCATTTGAAGCCTCCAAACATCAGCCAACCACCAACTAGCTGTCGAACTCCACCACCACCATGACTACCTCGACCTCTTTTACAAACCTCAACCAACATTTAGGCATCCCAAATGCACCAAAAATCAAGCCAAACCCAATAGCTACGGACTGTCTTTAGGCAACACCACCACCTCCGAGATGCCCACATCGGTACTATTACACCAATCGACCATACTCATCGAGGGGCATCTATTTATGGTCTTATATCAACAACACGTCAACACCACAAAATCCAAATTTATAAACCCATTCTCCGCACAGCCGAACATGCACATTAAAGTTTCAATTTTCAGTGCCGTCAATGAGTCCCACGGTGGCAAACCACCTTCTCCAACATCCCAACACCGTGTCGCATCTATTGCTACCATGAGCTTCGCCTTGTTGCGTTGATGAATAAACATATAATGTCATGAGAAGTGTTAAATTCACAGTTCTTTTATGTGGGAAAAAGGGGAGGTAAGTAGAGGTCCCCCGCGCACAAAAACGTCGAAAAAAAGAAGCAGATGGGTAGGATCTACCGCACATAGCGGCTTGGGCTGGTGGTCGGGTGATAAAGAGAGAGGGAAGGAAGAGAGAAGAAGAAAATGAAATTGATTTGGATTGAGTGGGAGGTCGCGTGGGTGCGTACGTAGATTATATATAATGTATATAATTTTTTTTTTAAAGCCCATTTCATATTCTAATATTATATCAAAAAATTTGAATTAAAATTTCTTAACAAAAAGTAATATCTTTATTGTTAGAATGCCCGTGCATTTAAAAACTATCTGAAGAAATATTCCCGACAACTTGGAGAAGAAAAAGTATGTGCTGTTTATCATTTAAGCTTGTCTTCTTTGATTTATAATGTATATTTTAAATTTTAATTATCAGAACTCAACAAGAGTAAAAATTCCATAGGAGATAATTTTTTTTGTACAAAATACTTAGACAAGAAAAATAATTTTTTTGAAATTTTAAGCTTCGCTAAACCGTGTTTTTCAGTTCCGAGGAAAGCAGGATTTTTGTTCCACTTGATCAAATGTTTTACCGGGTCAATCTTGGCTGCCAAAGTCAGCCTCAAGCCATTGACGAAGTCTCAATATGCAGCGACGTCGTTTTGCATTTACACATCTATTCCGCTATAGTTTTGCCAATGCTCCTGTGATTATTTTCCTCTCTTGTCACTGTCTATCTCTTCATATGATTCCGGGGTCGCCCCCAAATCCCCTCGCTCACTTTTCATCGTTCCCTTGTTGACACCAAGATCGGTTGACAGAAAACTCAAGATCTGTTCTATTCTTTCATCTGTTAACCAATTTAAGGTCAGATCTTTAACTTTAAATTTGCTATTTGATTGGTTTTCTTTTAAACTTTTAGTTGCTGTTTAGATCTGTTATCTACTGTTTCCGTTCAAAGATTGAATCTTTATGATTAATTTTTTTTCCTGGGCTTGTCTGTTTTCTCGTAATATTTGCAGATCTGGTTGGTTGAGTTGAAGACTACGCGTTTCCTGGTTGTTTTGTTGCCGAAAGTTATTTTCTTTGCTGCCCGTAAAATTGAAAGTTGACCTGAATGGAAGAAATCTCGGAGTTGCAGAAAAATGATTCTATTCAAATCAGGGAGGTATGGAATGACAATCTTGAACAAGAGTTTGCTCTAATTCGTGAAATCGTGGATGACTACCCCTATATTGCGATGGATACTGAGTTTCCGGGTGTGGTTCTTCGCCCCGTCAGGAATTTTAAGCATATTAACGAGTATAATTATCAGACTCTGAAGGATAATGTTGATATGTTGAAATTGATTCAGTTAGGTCTGACATTTTCAGATGAAAATGGGAACTTACCTACATGTGGAACTGATACTCATTGCATTTGGCAATTTAATTTCCGTGAGTTCGATGTGAACAAGGACATTTTCGCTAATGATTCAATTGAGCTTCTGAGGCAAACTGGGATTGATTTTAAGAAAAACAATGAGATGGGCATTGATGCAAACTATTTTGCCGAGCTCTTGATGTCTTCAGGAATCGTTTTGAATGATAATGTACATTGGGTGACTTTCCACAGTGGCTATGATTTTGGATATCTGCTTAAGTTATTGACTTGTAGGAATTTGCCCGAGTCTCAGTCGGATTTCTTTGATTTGCTCAACATGTATTTTCCCATGGTTTATGATATCAAGCATCTGATGAAGTTCTGCAACAACCTTCATGGTGGTTTGAATAAATTGGCAGAGCTCCTGGAGCTTGAGAGGATTGGCATTTGTCACCAGGCAGGTTCAGACAGTTTGCTTACTTCTTGCGCATTCAAGAAGTTGAAAGATAACTTCTTCAATGGTTCCACTGAAAAGTATTCTGGCGTTTTGTATGGACTTGGTGTTGAGAATGGGTCTGAAAAATAAGTAGGAGTCCCCTATGTATGTTCCCTTCTGTATTAACATGTAAGGCATGGAAATCTCATGTTGGTTGTAAACATTTTCAGAGAGCTGTTGCTCATTAGTTATGTTGATTGCTTTTTTAACTCCGTCTTCCCTGTAACTGAACCCGTTATGGGTGTTGTAGTTTGAATACTGTAAAATATTGCACTAAGTGTTTCAATAACAGTTTTATCTTTTCCTCAGTTCTTCTCAAGTTTCCATTTTGTTTCAGTTTAACATCTTGTTCATGTAGATGAAAAATAAATATAGGCATACAAAGCATTCATGTGTTTGATTTGCGGTATTATATTTTTCGTAGCTTTTCCGCACTGTACATGGCTATGATGTTACCTTGAAAATGATTATCTCCTTCCAGTTATATAATGTGCATTTTCTAATGGAGTTAATTACGCGTTACATGAAGATGCAGGCAGAAACATAGTAACCGGAACCGTCCCTGGCCCTGCCCCTGCAAAGTTCTGTACATGGCTATGATGTTACCTTGAAAATGATTAATCTTCTTCCAGTTATATAATGTGCATTTTCTAATGGAGTTAATTACGCGTTACATGAAGAGGCAGGCAGAAACATAGTAACCGGAACTGTCCCTGCCCCTGCAAATTCTGTTCCATGTATGTGTAAGAGAGTGTCAACAATGTATTTGCGTGTGTTTTCGTTTCTGTTTCTCTATCATTGTCATGATTATGGCAAAATTAAGTGACATGAGTTGTATGGGATTAAGATATGATAATAACGGCTCCTTGATATGTGCAGAGACTTTGAGCCAAGGAGGAAGATAAGCAACTGGAATGAAGTTGATGTACGCTATGACCTGCTCGGAAAATGGTATAAGCTCTTGCTTGTCATCAATTTGTTCTGAAGTTTAGAGAGTAATGTTTGGGTAAATATAGGGAGAAAATGTTGGTATACTTTTATGGTTCAAACTCATATCTGAATGATGAATTGTTTAGGCCAGTTTCTTGGATAGTAATCATTCATGATCTGAACTCTCTCTCACGGGGATCGCATTGTTATTTGCTGCTTTGGATCATGTCTCAAGTAGCTAAGTTTATGACCTTCTTGTGCCGACTGTACGATATCGTTGATCTCTTCTACTCTCTACAATTAACCTTTACATGCTATTTGGATTACATGGCTCGCCGCTTGTGTTCATTGCCAAATTTCTACAATTTTTTTGAAGTTTTGCAGGCAAGTTGAGCAATCACTTTTCTGCACACATTTTCATCTTAAAACACCTCTCTAATAAGATAACAATCTTTGGACCATAATAGCACACCTTTAACAATATAATGACCGCAAGCATGGCAAAGATCTGCCAATTGGTGCAGTTAAACCTATTCTGGAAAATGGATCCTACTAACTGTACTACATGAATAAGTTATATTTTGTTTGAGTTTGGTTGTATATATTCACTTTATTTCTCGTAAATGAATATATTCGACTTTTGTTTACTTAGCATTTATCGGTTGTTTCTAGAAATCTCATATTTTTGACACGGACATGTAACCTATGTTTTCTTTTGACAGCAAAATATATTTATATAAAAATATAGCATAATATATTGATCAATAGATTTATTTTCATTCCACCGTTCCCTTCAAAGCAGTATTACCTGCTAAAACTATTTTGATTCTTCCACTTGAAGTCGTTATTCCCTGTTGCTGCATCGCCAAATTGGCATCTATACGAAATATATGCTTGTATTTGCAAATTAACCTGCCTCGTCCAAACCATTTCAATACCTCTCTCTCAACTTCATCTCTTAAGTCACCAAAGTACAGCACCAGCAGCATGTCCTTTAGGCTTTAGGGTCTCCATATTTGGAGCTCTTTTTGGCTCTTCTGTTACTGATGGGATGTCAATTGTGTTAACGTCCAAACCTGATAGCGCTTCTTGTGATTTCAAGTCACAAGTTGAATCGGGCTTTTACAGAGCTTTGTTGTGAGTTTTCAGAAAAATGTTGTGGGATTGAGTTATAATCCTGGCGGTTTATGAAATCCCAAGGCTTGGAATTTGAGCATTACCTTTTGGGAATGTGAAAAATTGAATGAAATTCCTTTTTTTTCTGCCGTTTATGTATATACAAGAACGTGACTGCAATTTGATGAAAAATGGGCAATCGTGAAATTGTGATGTTGTGTTGATAAAATTATAGAATCTGGTGTAGTTTAAAGGAAAGGGAGGATAATAATATATGATACTGTAGTTGATTCTAAGGCCCCAGTACTCCACATTTCCATGACTTCTCTCCCTCCTCTAAACTGGCAAGATTTGATGAATTTTGATGCATTCCTTTTAAGACCAATGTTTGGCAGCCATGCACTGTATTAATTGTGGCATGCTGGATAGTTTTCTGAATATACTTGGATGATCTTGTGTAAATATGACTGCCAGTTTATCTTTATTGAATTTGAAGTTTTGATTTAGAACAGTAGTGAGAATAAACTGCTAAGATGTCAAATTCAGAAGTGAAAACCAGTTGTTATTTACTAACTCCTGACTTTTCATTTTGAATTTGGAAAATATATTCATCATACAGAAAACATTTATGCCTGACATCATACGCCCATTATGATCTCTGTTTTGTTGGAATTAGGTGTAACAAAACGTTGATTTTATATCATCTTCAGCCAAGTATTCGGATACGTTCCGATAGACAATTCACACGTATGAATAGACTAACTTGTTCTACTGGCCGAGTAGATGATCGTGGTGTATTTGGATTCACAAAATCAATTTCGGATAAATGAGAAATTGATGTCCAAAGTAAGGTTGAAAATTTTGCCATATAACACGGTTGCTTGAGCCGCCGCCTCGCAAGCAGCTAGTGGCCATGTTATTGAAATTTTTGCTCGAGCAGTGAACAAGGTGGTCGGCTAGTGGTCTGAAGGACTGTGTCTTTTCGTGGAACATGCTGAATTTTGGGACGTGTCTCTCCGACCACAATCCCTCAACCTCTATAAATTGGATTCTCTAGGTGGTTTAAATTCATTCCATATCATTTTTTTTGTTCATATTGCTTCAAAACACACCAAAAATTCTTGGTTTTCTTGCATAAAATATCATTCAAGTCGAGAGTGAAACTTCATTTTCGAGTTTATTGATTCTTTGACGTTTGAGGTGCTTTTACTGCAAGGAGATATCATTATATATTAGAAGACGATTGCCAAGACTCCATAATTATCTTGGTGAGGTAAATTTGTTTTAATGACATAGTGTTAAACTCTAGTCTCAATTTACAATTCTATTATTTTGTTCTTGAATTCTGGTTTCGATTTATCACTCCAAGTAAGTTTTACTTTGTTTTATTTTACTCAAGTCACTCAAATTATAATTTGCAATTCACACACATATACATAATACACCAACAAGTTTAAGACAAATTTTTGTCGTTTTGCTTGTTATAATTTGAATGTCTTCACCGGAATCCACCCTGCATGGGCTTTATGACATTTTTATGCATTTTGACTGACCATCAAAGCAATAGTTTGGCGACATGAACAAAATGAATGGGACTCAAGTGGAACAAGTGACATAGTTTGAAAACCTCATATGCAAATTTCTCAAACTAAAGAATGTGAACAGCCTTGGCTCTTGGGCTTCCCACCTTCCGTAGTTAACACTCAAGGGTCCCAAATCCCAATTTGGCAATTTGTCAGCCCCGTGGGAAACCTACATTTCAATGGAAGAAAAGGGTTTTTAAGGGAAAAGGAAAAAACTTCCTTAATACTTACGCTTAACCTTTTCCAGTAGACAACCAAGCGATAAAAGCATCTTGTGTGATGCAAAATTATTTTATTAGTTCTGTAATTTAATTTCTTTATTCGGATTGGGCTTGGATTTTTTGCATAAGCTGATACAATTCATGCGCGTAAATGTCGTCAAGTGAGGTGCAGTGGAATGTTGGTATTATAAAATAATTCATTATTGTAAATATTAAAGAGGGAATCGGAATTCCAGGGAAAGTAAAATGGGATTTCTCCTCTGATTCCTCGTCTTCCTCAATCCCAATTCCAAATTCAGTAACTCTATTAAACAGGGGATAGAAAATTTGTTTGTGTGATTTTTATTTTTTTATTTTTGAAAAAAAATGCTGCGCAGAGTGATGGGGCGGAAGAGGAAGACCGGTGAAGTTCCGGTGTACCTTAACGTGTACGATCTCACTCCCATGAACGAGTACGCGTACTGGCTTGGCCTTGGAGTCTACCATTCTGGGGTCCAAGGTTAGCTCTCTAATCTAGTTATTATAGCTGTGTTTTGATTTATTCCAGTTTATTTATCTCGTGACAAACGGATTTGGTTCTGAAATCTTAATCCTGTGAGTGCTAGCTGAGGAAATTGTGTAAAGGAGTGTTCTGTGTCAGTTTGGATTTTGTGTTCCCTGTCATTTGATCAATGTGTAGCTTATTTGAAGAATACGAAGAGGTTGTACTGTGAAATGTTCGTTTTGGCTAGAAGAAAAAGCAATGCATTTTCTTAATAGAAACGCAGAAATTTTATGACAATTTTTGCTTTCTTCAATATGGCAGTTCATGGAATTGAATATGCATTTGGTGCTCATGAACATTCAACATCTGGAATATTTGAAGTGGAACCAAAGAAATGCCCTGGATTCACATTCAGAAAATCAATCTTGGTTGGAAAAACGGATTTGGGTCCCAAAGAGGTCCGTGCATTCATGGAGAAACTATCAGAGCAGTACTCCGGAAATACCTATAATCTCATTGCAAAGAACTGCAATCACTTCTGCAATGATGTTTGTGTTCGGTTGACCAGCAAACCAATACCAAAATGGGTGAATCGACTTGCTCATCTGGGTAATTACTTATCGAAAGCTAAGAATTTTAGTTGTTTTCTTTCATTTTGTATCTGGATTATTTTGAGTTCTTTTATTTATTTATTTTCAGAATTATACTTGTTTGGCATGATACTATCCCTTTGCCTAATCATGTTGGAAGGTTTCAGTTTCTTAAACACCTTAAGGACTTTCATAGTTTTGTTCTAATGTTTGGCACAAATAACCGAAGTTTGGCATCTAAGATACTTCTAGCATTTTTATAGTACTGCTTTATTTATTCTTTACGCCATTAGATTCTCTTTGTTAGCATTTTCTTTTATTTTTATTTAGTTTGCTTTTGAGCAGAGTGAGGAAGTAAAGTTGAAAGAATGCTTCATTAGGTGTATTAAGTTTTCCTCATTTAATTAACAGAGTTTGGATAAGATAATTGTTGATATAGGCTCCTTGCTCGATGTGCATATTGTTTTAAAGCCCGTATTGACCTACACACAATTAGGTGGTCCTTGGGTTCTCATTAATTAAGTTGGTCCTTCTGATCCCACAAAATACTAAAGTTTAGGTTATCTCTTACGAGTTCTGGATCTGATAGACTTGGATACTTGATTTGCTAATGCTAACCCTCCTGTCCCAAGATAACTTTCACGTTAGTTGTTCTGTGTGGAGGTGGAGACGTGAGTTTGAAGCGCAGAATTGATTTTTGGAGTTTTAAATAAGAAAGGTGATCTTGTAAGAAATCTAGCAATGAACCGAACAGAGTAACGAAAGAGGATTCATAATATTGAGTCCAAATTTATTAGGATCAACTCTTAGCTTTTTGTTGTTCTTGAATCATAGAGGTCCTTATATGACTCACCCTGCATTGTGGATTTCAAAATCTACACAAAGTGTAGAGAACATCTGCAGCAATGGATGGTGGAGATTTATGCTACAAACTTCTGGGATTTTCCCCTACTCTTCGCTGTTTATAGATTCTGTCACCAAAATTACAAACCCTTATATTATATCTATTGAACCTTGCAGGCTTGTTCTGCAACTGTGTTCTACCGGCAGGTTTGAATGAGACTAAAGTTCGGCACATTAAAGCTGAGGATGGGGTTTATGTGAAGAAAAAGCTAAGAAGCAATTCAAGTAGGTTTGCGTCTTCTGATCTATGTCAACCAGCGGAAAATCCTTCAAGAGGTAGCAAACATCGAAACCATCATCCTGCTTCTTCATCTTCATCTTCATCTTCAAAGCGTTCTAGTTCACCATCAACTACCAAGCTTTAATTATTTAGGGTGTTCAATTATCTATTCAAACAGCAAGATTGTCCATGTTTCACATTCTTGTTTTAGTTTTTGATGATCAGCAGTTTAATGATAACAGAAACAGCTGCTGCATGACAAGTCTTGCATTATTTATTTCCTTGTACAGTTTCCTGTTGAATGAACAATTATTGAACTGTTACAGTTATAAACTAAAACCTCTGAAATTAACCAACATTTTCGTTCTTAGTTATTTAAATGTGGTTTAATTATTTAATACTTTCTTTATAAAGAAAACCAATCTTGCGACGTTCTTATAGTGGCGGTACCTTGTGCTAAACCTTGAAGACAAAAGCAAATTCAAAGTTAAGCAAGGGATGACCCACCACGTGCTAAAGATTGGTTTTAGGCACAATTTGGTAATAGGGGAAATTTACAAAATATGTCTTTGGTGTATATATAATTTGTACACTGTATGGTCTATATTTACATTTTATATATTATCTTTTACAACTAATGATTAGAAAAGTACTTTTTTTTAGTTGAAAAATTACAAATATAATATTCGAAATAGTTGAATAGACTAAAATATATTTAATTTAAATAACTAAACATACATTTTATGTTCACTCACCTATTAATATCAGGAATTGTTTTATTTGAATTTTTTTTTAAAAAATTTTACTCATTGAACATAATTCAAAAAAATTAGAAGATGGCAATTATCGGTTTTTATTTGTTTACACAATGTTGAAAAATAGTAAAAAGAAGGTGCAATTTTATATATTATCTTTTACAACTAATGATTAGAAAAGTACTTTTTTTTAGTTGAAAAATTACAAATATAATATTCGAAATATCTGAATAGACTAAAATATATTTAATTTAAATAACTAAACATACATTTTATGTTCACTCACCTATTAATATCAGGAATTGTTTTATTTGAATTTTTTTAAAAAAAATTTTACTCATTGAACATAATTCAAAAAAATTAGAAGATGGCAATTATCGGTTTTTATTTGTTTACACAATGTTGAAAAATAGTAAAAAGAAGGTGAAATATTTTTCAAACAATTATTAACTTGTTAAAATTAAGATCATTATTAAGAGATTCTCTATTTATAAAGAACATCTCAGATAAAAAAGAATTTTTAAATTTAAAAAGAATTTGTTATATTCTAATAGTGGTTTCTATTTTGGTCTTTTCATTTTTTTCCCCAAAAATGTTTACTATCAACAGTTTAGCACTCGTTTGGTAGCAATTTTTTACCTCCAAAAATTATTTTTTTGACCGTTATTTCACTATTACAACCGTTATTTTTGATTTTCTTACTCACAGGTGGAGCCGACTTTTCTATCTAACGATCAAAAAAATCAATTCATATAATCACTATCGAGCATGCCCTAATTTATTTAATATATTTTTCAATTTAGATATGATTTGAAAGTGGAGTATTGAGATCTATAACTCATTAAATGCAATAATTATAAAGCAAGGATAGAGAGTGAATTTGATTCTTCAAAATTGGAGAGTCAATCTCAATCTTTATTTTGAAAATGAACACAAAGAGTCTCTTAAAACTTATTTTTAAACATTAATTTTTTAAAATAAATAATATTTTATACCCCTCCATCGCATTTATATAGGCTGGTTTTATTTTTTTACACTAATTCAAAAAATTTAATGTTATTGAAAAAATAATTGTTGCCAAAAAAATGGTTATGATTAGGCATTTAAATAACAGTATATTAGTAAACGAACAAAATAAAACGTTCTCAATAAAGAAATATGATCATATAATTGGGACAATAAAATAAGAAAAGTCAACCTATATAAATGAAATGGAGGCGTATTTAGACAATCCCTTAATTTTTGCTCAAATCAATTATTATCATCTAGTAAAGTCACATGTGGCTATGGATTTGAATGTGACCTCACTCTATTAACTACAAACACTTGCAATCCTAATTATGCAATTGGATTGGAGTAATTACCTACTGCGAAAAAAGGAACTTATGTATGAAAAAATAGTTATTCCCCTATGTAGAGTAGGGATAAATTTAGTTGTACATAATTTTTCCTTCCATAGAGGTGTCCATATTCTCATATGAGGTGGGATCCACTTGAATAAAATATTTGAGTGGGTCCCCACCCATGTGAGTGTATGGACACTTTTATGGATGAAAAATTATGTACAATTAGCACAACCTGTAGAATAAGGATAATTACCTACTGCGAAAGGAACATATGGTAGAACAGAGAGTTATTCCCCTTGTATAGGAACAATTGCCAGGGCAATTATAGGTGTTGTTTTTTTGGGGCCATCTTGCAATGAAAAAATGTGAAGCCTTCCTGTAAATTCTTTGACACTATTCCCCTTTACACCAAGCACTGGCCAAATGGTTTGTTAAGGCTCAACCAGCTAATTGGCATGGTTCGATGGTAGCACATCGACCAACGGTAACTACCGGTAGCACCACCTCCAACAATGCACCCACCCCAACAACCATATAGATAAATGGAGAATACTTCTTCACGAGACCTACCTCCATGACATTGACTCCATCCATGTCTCCCTATCTAAATTTTGCACAGAATATCTCATCTCTTGAATTTTTCCCATCTTTTTGGTTGTGAAGGACCTGATCATGGAGGATACAAAAAGTTACTCTTTCTACCCTCTAAGCGAACTTACTTTTTCAGAAAATAAGTCTAAACTTACATTTCTTTAAAATAACTAAGACAAATTCAAATTTAAACCTAAACCTCAACCATTCTTTTTGGACAAGCCAACGATGGAGTTGGTTTTGTGCTTGAACGTCGTTAATGACAACAAATAGATTCTGGTAAATTTCTTTCGCAATAATTATACTTTCACTCAGATAATTGGACTTCAATTTTACTGAATTAAGTAACTACGCTTTAATACAATTTTATTTAGGTAGCTAAACTTTCATTCGATTTCAATCAAGCAACTAACTTTAATTTGATTTTAACTATTGTATCTCTATCCAATTTCGATAAAAATAATCAATAACGTGACAATCAATAAATGATTATTATCACACATAATTGTTAGTTTCTGATATAAAATAACTACAACTTATTGATATCATCGATTTCCACAAGTTCAAGTGATGGAGTCGGATGGAGTTACCCAATTGAAATTAAGTTGGAGTTACTCGATTGAACAAAGATGAAGTATAATTACCTAATTGAATTAGAGGGAAATCATAAATACGGTAAATGTCATTTACTCAATAGAAAAAATATATACAAATACACCGGACATTCCTGAGCATACGAGTCCAAATCAAGTACATATATAATTACACCAGGCATTCCTGGGCAAAACAAACTGTGGATAAACAAGTACAACTAGTACAAACTAAAGATCCATAGCTAAGGACTCATAATGAATCAAAAATTCGGATACAAAGAAAACACGACTTTGTAAACGTGTGTTTTGATTCGTCGAACAATACTATCAATATGTGATTTAAAATTATCAAAAATCCTTCTATTTCTTGCCATCCAAATGTGGTAAATGGTTGTAATAAGTACAATCCGCTTAGCTTTGCTGTGCCAATAAGTACCCTGACTTTTCTTTTTAATCCACTTCACATCATTGGAAAGTGTAGACATAGATTGCCTAAGACCCACTCATGTGCGGATAATTTTCCAAATAGATTGGCAAAATGAACAATCAAAGAATAAATGACTTGTCTCATCCATGCGTTCACAAAAACAACACTTACGGTCAATCTGGAGATATTCCAATATGCCCTTTGTGAGTAGTTTAGATTTGATTTCCAACCACAAGATCAAAGAAGTAAGCACTATGCTATTTTGGATCAACCTACCCGATTTGCCTTTGGAGTTTTGGAACACAAGTGCCCTGGGAAAAATTGTGTCTAAGGTAGGTAAACCTATTTCTACCAATAAAATCACGACCACAAAAGGAAGATATCTTATGCTAGAACTTTAGTTGAAGTTTATGCATCTATCGAGCTTATAAGGGTTGTTAAGATTAGGCTTCCTAATGGTAAATTAAGGGAACAAAAAATCCTTTTTGAATAGGAGTCGTAGTTTTGTGTTTCTTGTAAAGCTTTTGGGCATTCCACAAGTGGATGTAACTACAAAAAACATGATGCCAAGGATGCGGGTGTTGGTGGAAAATTCATATAAAGCCATTACGACTACTAAAGAAGTGCGGGCTAATCTAGAGGTTAATGAAGGGGAGATACGAGATAAAGTGGGCCAAAATTATAGGGATAGATTGGAGGAACCATTCATTTAGGTTACAAATAGGAAACATAAAACCCAGTCGAAGGGACACAATGCAGGCACACGCAACAGGAATCAGTAGGTTGCAGCCAGTGAAGGTAGGACGCAATCAGGCCAGCAACCGGACCCTACAACAGATTGTGATAGGCCGAGTTCTAGTACAGTTTGTGATGGGCTGCTTAATGGGACTGATTGTAATGAGAAATTAAAGGGCAAGCTTGATGATCAAAGGACCACAACTATAAAAAAAGATGTAAAGAGGGGATAATTCCCTCGTTATTTCATCATGAAGATTGCCTCATGGAATATTAGGGGTTTGAACCGTCCCCTAAAACAAAATGGCGTTTGGAGTTTTATAAAGGAACATGACATTGACATTATGGGTATTTTGAAAACAAAAGTTAACGCAATCTAAGCTTGATTGGGTGATGCAGAATAAATTTGGGGGTTTCTGGAGATCAACAACTATCATACTCATCAAACTGGCTGAATTTTGATTTTGTGGAATCCCATGAAAGTTCAAGTGGACGCGGTGGAGATTACATCTCAAATCATTCATTGTTAAGCTACTTGTAAGGTTAGTTCACTTACATTTTTTGTTAGCTTCGTATATGGTTTTCATACTATTATCATAGGCTACTTCGAAATAACATGTTGGATTTTGGATCAAATTGTTCTTTGCCTTGGTTGGTCTTGGGTGATTTCAACAATGTTATCCACTATGATGAAAACTGCAATGCCGTGGATGATACCCTGTATGAGGTGAAAGATCCTACTAATATGTGCATCAATGTCGGACTTACGGATGTGAGATCTATTGGTTGTTTCTACACTTGTACTAATACTTCAGTGTGGAGCAAGCTTGATAGGGCTATGGTGAACAAAGATTGGCAACTAATGAGATTTAATAGTCTTACTAATTTTCTACCATCGGGACGCCTCTC